TCTAATTGATCAAATGTATCTCATTTCAAAATGAACACGCTGGTTCTATTGTTGGAAGTCTCACGCAACATTGGACGCTGTTGGGAGCTATCAGGATTACGCCGCCGTGATTAAGCGCAAACTCAAGGTTGTTAACAAGAAACAAGAGCTATCAAAATACTCTATCTTGTGTGTTCTCATTAGAACAAATCGTTTCTCCATGAAGTTACTTGCCAACGAGACATAACTCACTTCTTGAGCATTTTTGTAGGTGAAGAATAATTAACATAAAGTGAGTACTAAGTAGCCCTTCCCTTATTTAATTGATTCTTGTGACAAGACTTTACTTTGTTTATGCAAAGTAATTCAAAACGCTCAAAACGATTATTCATCAAACCAACATATAAGTGAAGTGAAATTGTGCATTCTAAAATTACGATTATTTAATTGATTCCTATTCAGGTACAAAACTTGTATTTCTCATCTATCAATTATTCTATGTTTGTGGGACTAATTTATCAATTTAATATTGCTTTTAGTTCATCTTATCATTTGAGTTGGAATTACAAAGATTGAAGAAAAAACTAGTTGATTTCAATCCAGTCAAAGCACATATTGGAAGTTCTTTGGAAATTTTAAGAAAATGGTTATTTTAATTTTCGAAAATATTACGAATAAAATGAAAAATTTGCAAAAATTAATTTAGTTATGGAAAAATCCAGCATTTGCCAGAGTTAAGTAGAGATTTGATTGAATTTGACCAGGTTGTAACAGAATGCAATACTCATAATCGTTGGTTCAATACGCTGTGTATCTACTTTTAGCTTAAGAAGTACCAATTATGAGATAACAATTGAAAAAACACTCTTGTGTTACTTTCAATTAAATAGAGATTTGATAGAATTTGACCAAGTTTTAAAAGAATGGAATACTCATCACCGTTGGTTCAATTCGCTATACGTGTACTCGTAGCACAAGATGTGCCAGTTACGAGGCAACGAGTGAGAACGAGTGTAACGTGGCCGGCAGGATTCGAACCTGCGCGGGCAGAGCCCACATGATTTCTAGTCATGCCCGATAACCACTCCGGCACGGCCACTTCATGCTTTTCTCAGAAGATATGTATATATTGATTTTCAATTTTGAGCTTCAACAATTTTTATTCACATGACCATGTTTTATTCCTTAGGTCAAACAATATATGATTTTTTAATTATTGGTAGATTTACTATTGTATCCTGCCCGGGAACGAGTCAAGTGTTTACACTTTGAACTTTAAACAGACTCACGAAGACACAATTGGTGTCAACTTGCAGATGTGCCATTGACTTTTTACTTGCACGTTGTAATCTTGTACCATTTGCGACAGTGACTCCTAAGTCATAATCTTAACACATTGAGAAGTGAAAATTAGCAACCAAAGAGAACTTTTTTCTTTCTATCTTCCTCCGAAATATAATCTATTTTAGACCCACTCAGATTCTGCACTTTGTCTTTGCCTCTCTGATAATCCATCTAAATAATTCCTCTCTTCCGCCTTGCAAACTGCAATTTCAGCGTCTTGTTTACCGGATGACATTTGGGGCCGAGTACTAAACTCGGATCGATGGAGTCTGCACGAGACACACCAGCTTGTTTTGGGGCAAACTGGTGCTCCGTGAAGGTGTAGGATGCGCTATGTTCATTTATTTGGGAGTTTAATCCTCTGGCCTCTTCACGCCCTTCCTGGGAGTCATACGCAGCAAGAGTATGCATTTGCAGTACCATATCGCCCGACCAACTCTTCAATTATGATTATTGAAGAGGCTGCTCGTTTATATCTTTAGCAGCCTTTTGCTTCAGATCAAGTTAGGTTTACACAGTTATCATTGTGTCTGCACGAGGAAAAGCTTAAGCACATCTCACAATTGGACAGATCTATAGTGAAAATTGCTACATTCATTCTGATGTTGGTAAGTGTATATGCTGCTGGTGAAATTCTCATTCAAAGACTCAGAACATCAATTTTTTCAATGGTGAGGATATTTTGGTGTTTCGACGTAATCAACCAGTCGATGCGCATATTTTTCAGTTTTATCAAGATCGTCGAACCTTAGATCGTGCTGAACAGATTCAAGATTCTCGGCTGCAGAACTTGAACGCATGCCGGGGCTCAGCAATGTGCATGTTCTTTTCTACATACTGATAGCGTCGGAGTCCAAAGGGAATGTCGGTTCTCGAATAAAACTTCTGATAATAGCACTTTATGTTGTGAGCAACAGGAGTATCGTCTGTACGGGCTTTTAGGGTTCGACGTAGTTCGAACTGAGAATATTGTGATCTGCCACACGATCCAAGATGTGTCTGTGTATTCCGGACGTGATGGGCCTGTAATTTGTATGGCGATCTGCCAATACGCTTGAATGACGTTTCCTCACGAGATAATTATTTTCGTGAGCGAGAAGATGAAGAAATTAAACCCCCGATCTACTAGGCTTGGCCGTGAGGCCAAGCCTAGATAGATAAAATTGGGTTGTCGATCGGATCGACAACCCAATTTTTTTTCGTGCTCAGCGCAGATCTATCAGCAATAATTTTGAGGAAGACTTCCTGACCAGCCCGGAATTCAGCCTCGGTTCTTTGACAGTGCACAATCGGCGACACACCTGACACACGTGAGCAAGGTGCGTCAGGTGTGTCCTCATTCGATAACAACAAAGATTCTGAAATTGGTCAGCTTTGCACTCCTTGTTTGCACACTATCTTCACTTATCATCATCAATGTTTTACCATTCTCAGTATCAATGTTACGACCGGTATGATTGAAGCAGTGCTGATTGCTTCTTATTGAAACTTCATTTTGAACGTACCCACGTTCAATATGAAGATTCGACTCGTGTACCCACACGAGTCGAATTTAGACTTCAACTGCCCGCTTAGTGCAGGGCTTGGAGTACATCTTCCTCTCGCATGTGCAGCTTTTGTAAGGAATTTCAAGAACTGACCATCGCTATCATGATCCCAGAAAATTGAATCGATTTCAGGTAAAAGGATCTTATCATCTACCAGAAGCAGCAAACATGATGATGGCTATACGACCCAGCCTGCTGGTTGTTTTGGTACTGCTTGGGGGGGACCTGTCGTTTGAGCGAGAGGGGGCATGCGCAGATATTTGAGCCCTCCAATGGCATCTGTTCTGAGTCCATTCTGTTGCCTTACCATCAACGCCCAAGGCCAGCACACCCCTTCCCACCCCGTCCTGCCAAAGGTTCCGCCACATCACAGGGCCTGGTGCGTGGCCAGAGAAATTGTTTTTCCAGAGGTCCCAAATTTTCTCGCCCCTCGTGGATAAAGTTCACATAAATTCGCAGTCCATTAGCTATGAAGTCAGGCAGGCCCGGCTGGCCTACTCTGCCCTGAGCTGGGCACGTCATGTCATGTCATGCCATGTCATCGCCTCTTCCTCGGAATTGCTGCACCCAACAGTACGCCAGTTTTGTGTCATCTTTTGCCCCATTCATTCATTCATTCATTCATTTTCGGTGATTCTTTCATCTTCTCGACGTTTTCTCGTCCTCCATACTTCCAACTCAACAACATTGTAGATTTGTTGTATCCGTTTGAAGCCGTGAAAATCTAACACACGTACACACTATCTTTTGTGTGGCACTGTCAGATAAGCATCAAATTTCTTCACTATCGATTGGATTATTGGAAGTTGATGCTCATGTTCACACACCAATGTCGTAGGTCAATGTCTGACTCTTTCATTCAAGTAGCTGTGCAGTGCATGTAAAAAAATATTCCCTTATCCATTCTCTTGCCATCTCATTCTACTACTACAGTCAGCCCGAACATACACACATTACTTACTACATTCTTCATGAAGTTTGTAGTCAGTAATCTTTTTATATGTAACCTCGAAGGTTTTTGCTAACTTGCCTATTGCTGCCATATTGTGTAAAAGAAGTATACAAATTACCTTGTGTTTGGCTTTTCCTCTCTTCATTCATATGGATAAGATGCACAAATGTGTTCCGAGTTTGAGACTGTCTGACCGTGGATCCCTGTCAATCTGCCATCATGTGGACCATGGATCTGCGACTCACAAACTTTATTTAGGCAAACAAATCCTCACCACATTCATCACTGTGTCCTCCGTTTGACTATATGTATCCCATCACAACACAGGACACATCAATTCAGCGTATATTTAATATATACTTTTACTGTTTAGTCCAGTGGCTTCAATCATACTTCTAGTCTCGTGCTCTATATTCGAGCTCTGACAGACTTAAGATTCTGAAATATATTACTTTGAAATACTCAACTCTTTCTTTTATTTTACTGTTTTTGAATTGAAGGCTCGTGAGATATTTTGTCACGTTTCGTACACGATCGAAAAGCATTATCTAGTCACTTTTCGACGATCTGAAGTTACCATTTTCAAAGACATGGATATTTATCAATATTTTACTTTTTTATAAATTCAAATATAAAAATAAAATATTTGATATACGAAGTATCTATCATTAAAACTTTTATTTTAAATTAATTTTTTTTCTCAAAAACTCATATAAGAAATTAACATATCAGTTTATTGTTATAATACATATATGTAAATTATATTATAATTTCTAATATTATAATTAAAATAAAAAAAAATCCGTATGATATCAATTTGAATGTCAAAACACAGTTATCGATGCCATGCCAGGACTGGAAGTATTTCACTTTGAAAGTCAGATCTTGGTTAGTCTCTGTGAGCTGCACTTATAGCAATTGCAGAATGGTCGACCTTAAAGCGGTTGCAGATCCGATTATTGTACTTATAATCAGTACCTCATGTTATAGATTTTAGATTTATGTGTTTTATATTTACACTTTAATTAAAGTTCATTATCCACATGTCTAATTTAATTATATCATTACATTTTCTTATTATAAAATCGAATATTATAATTTAAATCATATAATCTAACACATCTTTTCGGTTATTCAATTTCGAAAAGATCAATCGATGCTTGGAGAGGTGAAGTGTTCAGTCTATAAGTCAAACCACGTCCAGCTCTGCTCTGGAAATTGCACTCTGTGAAATTGCTGTGAATTGCGCAATTGTCTACCTCAAAGCGGTTGCAGATCCATATCTCAGAGGCCCGCCGTCTCATTGGTCGAAGAATACGGAAGGGCCTCGGGCCGTCGCTGGAAGGTGGCCCGACATGTTTTCCGACATGAGTGTACAATGGCTGGTGCTCCTTATCTTACTGGTGTCGACTGCATTCATCTACACGACGAACTTGATCCTTCGGAAAGAGAATAGAATTCCTGAACCTCGTGGATGGCCAGTGATTGGACACCTTCCGCTTCTGCAGCCCAAGATTGTCCATCGAACTCTGATGAATATCGCCCAGAAATATGGACCTCTGTATAAATTGAGGTTAGGAATGCTGAAGGTTTTGGTTATATCGTCTCCAGATTTGGCCAAGGAGATTCTCAAAATTCAAGATGCATCGTTTGCAGATCGTCCTTTCACAGTCGTGGGAGAGCTATTCAGCTACCAACTAAAAGGCATTATATTTTCACCAACTGATGATCACTGGCGTTTTATGAGGAAACTTGGCTCCGAGTTGATGTCTTCAAAGGCCATCCAAAAGCAACAGGTATCGTACATACAAGCCATTTAGTCCATCTCTGCTCAGTGTCGATGGCTGCATGCTTGCGTAGAATGTTGGGATGATGATTTTCAGATCAATCACGTCCTCGCTACTTCAGTTCTACACTACGAATATACTTGTAAGACGCAATTTTCATCAGCTGGATACGTCTCAGGTCGTTGTACAGTTTCTGTGTTTGATCTAGCTACGTTCCAGCATGTTGTCTTACTTTCCTGGGCTTGTACCATCCTAGGCAACACAGTTAATGAACATCATATTCGCAGTATCAGCAGTGCTTGGGAATGGAAGCATCGTATTTAGGCCACCGTCTTCGAGTGACATCCTTGACTTTGAACACGTATTTGGTGTCATATCCACGGGTCATATGTCAATTCAGATCGAGGCAGCGAATTTTCTTATTATAATAGCGCTCTAGTATTCATTGGGGAATTAAAACTAATCCAGTCCAATGTCGCATTTGTTGCTGATTCGTAGGTTTCCAGGCATGAGACGCTGATGACGGCTGTGAACTCCCTACTTGAACGTCAGGGAAAGCAATTCATAGATTTACGCGAAGAATTACTCGACATGATGCTCACCCTCATGCTCCAAATGCTGCTCGGGAAAAGGCTAACTGCAGGGAAGTCAGTAGCAAAGTCATCTGAATCCAATGGTATGAAGAAACTCACACAACTCTACAAAGAACTGGCTAAATTAGACCTCTTTGTGATGGGTGACTGCTTTCCGTTCTTGAGGTGGCTGGACGTGGGAGGCGTGGAAGCCAGAGTTGCGAAATTGCATCGCGGGTTCGATAACTGTCTCTCGGATGCCATGAATGCCCTTCGTCGCGAAGCTCCACATGCTACTTCTGAGGACCCAGGCTTGATGCAAACTTTGTTGTCCATGCAACGCACTGAAGAAGGAAAAAACATAACTGATGACGAAATCAAAGCTCTCGTCACTGTAAGTTCGAATCAATTTTCATATTTATGCCTAGTTCTGATCGTCTCATCAACTGTAGAAATATGCCTACAAGTCACAAAATCCGACTTGAATTGAGTGTGAGGATATGTATGGAGGGTTTCAATAACTGCAGTACTCAAGAACTGGTATGATTCCAAGTCATACTTTGTACTCCTCGCGTTGTAAATTAACGGTGGTGTCGAGATCTGTTGTGTAGGTTGAAGTATCACGTAGAGTCCACAGAGCCAGACAGTTACTCGATGCCTTCTCCCAGAGCGTCAGATGCACCATGGTTAATGCTCAAATTCAGAGCAAGAGCCTGATCATGACCTTCCTTTCGTTGCACTCTGACAGGATTTGTTGATAGCTGGTATAGACACTACAGCAAACACCATTGTGTTTGGGATGGCTGAATTGATGAGGAATCCAGACGTCAAGGAGAAGCTTCTCAAGGAGCTGGACGAATTTGTGGGTAGAGAGCGAGTGGTGGAGGAGTCAGATCTTGTCAACCTCAAGTACCTGAAGATGGTGATAAAGGAGACTTTCCGTCTTCATCCACCGGTGCCAGTTCTGTTACCTCGCAAGTCCATGGAGCGTGCGACTGTCGCTGGATATAAAATTCCAAAGAATTCGCAGGTTTTAATCAACTCATACGCCATTCAACGAAGTCCAGAATCGTGGGACGATCCGACCAGTTTCAAGCCGGAGAGATTTGCGAACAATCCCATAGACGTGAAAGGCCAAGACTTCTGCCTCCTGCCTTTCGGAGCCGGTCGAAGGCAGTGTCCAGGCATGGGAATTGGTGGGCTGATGGTGGAGATCACTCTGGCGACATTCTTGCAAATTCTCGAGTTCTCTCTTCCTGCAGGAATGAAACCAGAAGATGTGGACATGGCCGAGCAAGCTACAATCTCATCTTCTCTGGTTTCTCCGCTCCTGGTTTCAGTGAAACCACGATTATCCCCGAACCTGTGCAGCATGCGAACTTAAGGTAGGACTTTTCTGAGATCCTACGTCCTTACATGGAACATTATTCAGGTAGAAACAGGATTTGGCGACAAAATATAAACCTTCGAACAACATGCTCCAGCTCGACCTTTGAAGTGTTAGAAATCCCACCTCATAATTTAAGAAATTTGTACGTAGGAACCATAGACTGCATCCACTACATTCGTGGAATTGTGTTAAATAGATGCTTGAGTAACAGATGAGGAATGGTTTCTCCAAACCTTCTTTCAAGTAATGGTTTCGGGCCTTTAGCCCTCGGGTGGCATCGCCCTATGAAATTCTGATAAATACTTTTAATTTGTACAGAGATATTCTCTTGATGAGATCAAGAGACAGCTAATTTCTATTTAAAGTTATAGTTAAAATATCCATACGACAGAACTGATATTAAATTTGGTGTTGTTAGTTCATGTTTTCGTCCTCAATAATTTGTTGATATCTTTTCAGGGACTGTTTCGCTGTTCGTTTGAGGTGCCTTAATTTTCTTCTGCCGTGCCATGTTTGCAGTAATAGTCGTCCTTCGGATGCATATCGCATTTTGCAATCGAACTTTTTTTTTCTTTGTTCAAAAGGCTTCGACTTGATTGGGTACTTTGCTTAATGGCTTGCTCTATTCAGCCAGCACATCTGCCGCCTTTATTTTGGATACTTGTATGAAATATAAAAGCTATTCGGAAAGTGTAGATAGGGAATGTATTCAAGTACTTAATCTAAGAAAAAACGTCTTTCTTCATTCAATGTTTTTATGGTATGTCCTATTCACGCAGCAAATCTGTTGTTGACTCAAAATTTCTCAGATGACTTCAGTACACAATCTCAGTCAAATTTATAGGAGAGTTTTACATTCAATATCAATTGACATATATGTACATTATAAATATATGTGATTTTTTAGGATAAAAAGGGAAGTAAAGATTTCATCATTATAAAAGCAAATTAATTTGCATTCTATAAAAAGTCATGTTAAATTTATTGGTTTTTTCATATAATGTTATGAATTGTAGTTGATCTTTTGATAAATATGTGTATCCATAATGAATATTATATGTCATCTATACATAGCAAATGAATAGAAATTATTTATAAGAAAAAACATTTAAATTTTTTATATCTGAATAGAAAAATTTAAATGTTTTCCTTAGATTTGTTTCATATTGAAAATTAAATTAAAGCTGATTAAGATATTAATCAGCTTAAAATTGAGAATTAAAGCTTTTTTACGATATTATCCATAATTGCGTCAAGAGAGATTGATCTGTCAAGACGAGCACGAGAGATTTTGCTTGTCCTCTTGCAAAGTTGATGCGAGTGAGAGTAGTATGGAGTTATGCATTAATTTCGCAGAATTTCCAACCGGATAGCTTGGAAGGATTAGTTGTGTGAAGAATATGTAGAAGGGGTTGAGAAAGAACTATAAGATTTCAATCTGTAAACAAAAATGTGTTGTTAGTTGTGTTGTTGTAGATTACAATCTTTCAAGACTTTTGTAACTATCTCAAAGTGAGAATGTTAACATACATAATTATCACAATTTTTTCAATAAATATTTTCAACAGCCTAATTCAATCCTTAGAACTATGTTAGTAAGAGTGTCATAAACACTTAATAATTTCATAAATTTCTTGCCCGAATGATTTCAGAAGCCCTAATTCGAAATTTCATACTAGAAAAATTATGGAATTTTTTTAATCAAGTAAGCATTATTAAAATTTAGAACTTGTGAATCTCAATAACACACTGCTTTCACATTATATGATCATTATTTTATAATAATAATTGTTGTATCAGATTTTATAGCTTTCAAAAATTTTCCTAAGGTTTCATTTTTTATGTTTAGTTTATGAGAGTAGTATAAAAATGATTAAAAATTTGGTGTAAAAACTTGTCACAATTTGAAAATTAAATGGTACATAATCGAATGAATAATTTTAAATATCATTTTATTTGTTAGAAGTTATAAATAAGAAAATTGTTGGAATCAAAAAGCTTATTTCTAAAGAAAAGTTATCCATAAAAAGTACTATTATCACAGTCAAAGGTGTTTTCACAATGAACAAATCAGATATTGTTAGTAAATGTATATACATGGATAACTTTGAAATATCCTTTGGTACTCAATATAAGTCCTTCATCATCTAAATTTTTCACTACCTTCACCTTGTCACTACTTTTTAGTTAATAATGTTCAAATTAAGATCTCTTCTAAAGTTAGCAAGTCGTTCAGATCATGGGCTTTAAACACAAGTTAAATGAAGAATACGTCATCTTAAACTAGAACATACCTACAATATTAACCAATCTTACAGAAGCCTTTATATAAGAAAAAAATGATATGATGTATTGAATTTAGATCCAAGATTTTACAAGGGAATTTACAAAAAACTTTGTATCTCGTCACATGGCATGGCATTGCAGTGAGGGCATGTGAAAATTTTTGTTTCTTTCCTTTTTTGAGTCATTACATGATATTTTTAGCATAAATTTGTCTTTATATAATTTCTTTTGATGTATTTAAATTTTTTCTATGATCATGATGTATGCTCATGCTCTTGATTTCTTAAGCACACAACTTTCAAGGTGAAACTATCATGAAGATCCTTGTTCGTGGTATCAAACTGCAACATATGATTCAAGATAAGTTAGTTCCTGGGATTGCAAAGTTGAGAAATGATGAAAAAAGAATAAATTCTTCAAAATTCTAGTGATTGTGTTTTCTCAAAAGCCGATTAGTCTGGTTTAAATAAGTATCATTGTGCATTCAGCATATCATAATCATCTCTAATGTAACCTTTCTAAGTTGGTCCAATTCGTAAGAAAATCCAAGTCACTTACAAGGTTATGATCTTCACTCCCAATTCCTTTTCCAATTCTTTTCTCGTTTTTCATGAACTTTACAAAACGAGATTTGTTCATATTACCGTCAAGTTTTTAAAACCTTAAAAGATTTGCTCTTACATCTCGAATTTACAATCCTAAGCTTGTATACTAGTCTCGTGCCAACGACTGTTTCTGACTGAAAGATTATATATCTAACTACGGCTCCGACAGGGGGAAGAGATCCAAATATCCTAACCAAACCCTTCCGCATCTGATGTTTGTTGGACTGCTTGACTGATGCTCCATGAATGCCGAACCTCAACTCCTCATTGAAGAGCAGTGAATTTGAATCCTTCTTGACGACTACAGCCCGACAAATAATCAAAAGACACAATTGTGTCAAAAAAATAGATCGTTGCATATGTAGATCTAGCCTGCTTTTGTTTACGAAGCAGGCGTTGTAGTACTATCGGTAGCATTAGTTCATTGGCAATAAGTGTTGGACATATACTCTCTTGCTCACCTCATGTAGATTAGATTTAGAGATTAGGTTTAGGGTTTTAGACTAGTTGCTTTGAGTATGTATACAGTGTGTTATAAATAATATAATCAAGTTTTCTATCTTCCGCTCATTGACATCTATGCAGAGTTGTGCATTGGGCTTCAAAACTTTACTCATACCCAACCCACAACCGCGTCGGGGTCACTGTACCCCACCCTTACCCACCCATCGTATCTTTTCCATACCCATTATCCATTACCCACCCATTATCCATCCATGACACCTTGTCCACACCCACCTCATACCCATCAGTCCATCACCAAAATAAAGTTACTTAAGAGCACTTGAAGTTCACTTAGACTTTTTGGGAGGTTTATGACAAGTAATAGCTAATTAGCACACTTAGCTATTAGCATGGCGCAATCCAAGAGCTCAATCAAGTTTTAAAGACGAGCTCCATCATACCCATCCATTATCCACCCATGGGTACATGCCCATATCCCTTAATCACCCATTTACCCATGGATATGGGTACCCATTGCAGGAATCTGATCCTATGTTGTTCTACAATTTATCATGGTATCAAAGCGCTTCAACTCGTAAGTGACTTCTCGTTCCTCTTTCCTGAGTCTTGTTAAATCTGATTAAAGATTTGAGCACGCAAGTTTTTTCCTGCAACTAGGATTGTTGATGGTCTGATTGAATCTTTGTTCAATATCTGTCTCGTCCCTCACCATGTTAGGGATAGATGTTAGTTCCGCACTTGGCGATGATGGTTTTGGTAGGACTGGCACAACAAGTGATGATCTTGTTATTCAACCATTGTCTACTAGCAATTCTCTTAGATTTGACACAAAAAATGGTATGATCACAGCAACCTTGTCAAATCATGATCCGAACATACCTGAGGCATATCATTTCGAGGTAACATCTAACTAGTGTGTATGGTACTTTTGAATCCAACACACACTATCTTGTTGTGGATTGTTTCACTACTGTGTTACATCACCTCAATTTTTATGAATCAGCAGGGAAAGGTGGCTCGTTCCAGAGTTATGAGCAATTTCATAAATAATGCCAAGAATTCTAAAATAAAGATATTGAAACGATACAATGAGCCTTATGCATGTTGGTTTTACTTAAAACATCAATATGAGTCACATAGTGATCCTTGCAAAGCTTATCTTGTAGATAAATTCTTTGCTTTGAAAAAAACTGAAGTTACTACGATGGTTGTACATCTCACTTAGTTTAGAGTCTCACATAGCAAACCTATTATAAAAGTTTAATGTTGTATTGCCAGATGAGGTCATAGTGTATTATGAACTCAAAAATCTTCTGAGAGATTGTCCGACGTATTTTAATGGGTAATTTTGTACTTTCTATATTTGAGAAAATAGAGTACATTTTGCTGAGCAAAGAAATAACGATAACTTTGGTTAGTGAAGAGAAGTAAAGGCAGGAGAGTCATTTGTATCCAGCAAGATAGACTTCGTAACAAGATACTTTTGCAAACCAATGTTGTTAATAATAATAACTTGTCAAGTTACAACAACACCGTTTTCCGTCGTGGTTCAATTTCTAGACAAAATCAATCTCAGTCCTATTGATCTCATGGCTCTACTTTTAGTCTTGGTGGTCCAACTGCACGTGGTTCTACAACGTATCAGCCGTGGTTTTGACCCAGGAGAACTTCACGTTCTTGAGCAAACATGTTTTGAGATTTTTGTCTATGTGAAGAACATCTCAACCGAGAATGCAATATCAAGTACTCATTGATCAGATGGGCAATATGGAGCATCATCTCGATAACAAGCGAAGACAACAATGTTCATGTGGTGAAGTTCATTCCCTAGAATACAACAATGAAGAACCAGATGCTAACGAAGAAAAATCTGTCAATCTTGACAATCCAAATGACGTAGAAATCTACACTATTAAGCTTCTAGATCCACTCTATACATCAACATCATAGTCATCATTGACAGATTCCATTCACACATTAGATATTGTAGAAAAAAACTCCGTGATTAGCTTCTGATTG